ACACACACACACACACACACACACATATATGTGTATATATATATATATATGCATGACTATATATGCTAGATAATCTTATTATACACATATGCATATACATGGTTATATAATCCTGCATTATTTTTCATTTGTTAATATATAAAAGTATACATACATTTGCACACACACACACACATATATACCTGTAGCCTTGTATTGTTGACTAATTGTTTTATATTTCCACATTTGATCACCCAAATTAGATTTAAATTTCCTTAGAAAATAAAGAGAGATTCTTTTTTAGTTCTATAGGTATTGACTTTCTCCTCTCTTTTAAGCTGGGAGACCTTCAGTGACGATAACCAGCAGGTCCTTTTGTAATGCTAAGGGTCTGCTGAATTTACCAATATAGGTTTATTTTAAGTTTTTGATATGTACATAATATATACATGTTATTGAAGATGTTAGCATATAAATAGAAAACCACAAGAAGAATTATTAAAGTCCTCCATGCTCCTATCAGGATGCTAAGTATTGTGAGAGCTTCCATCACACACGTCCTTGGCAGCAGACAGGAGATCACCTTCCACACAGACAATAAGGAGCCACCACTCACACTTCACCTACACTAGTTCAGAACCTCGAACCTCACTGTAAGTTGCAGTCAGTACCAAGCCTGAGTGCTGGCTGCAGCTACTGGGTGTTCTCCATTAGCATAGGCTGCAAGCAATGACCTCCAGACACTGCATTCCCACATACCAGTGTTCTAAGGAACCCTAGGTAGCTGCATTCAGACGAAGCAGATGAATGAATGAAAGGCATCTATTCACCCGTATCATGGAGGCATTAAGTCAGGTATTAAAATGAAGCACAGACAAGGTGGCTCACAGTGACCCAGAAAGGCCCGGGCGCTAATTAAATGAACCCCATACCAACCATCTTTATACAACGCTGTGCTGTAAAGGCACGCCTTTATTCTCCACCACACAATGTACAAAGGCAACCAGGGAAGGAAGCCACGTTGCAATATTCTAAAACATAAATCTTGCTCCCAGTCTGTTCCGAGACAGCATCCTGTTTTCCTTACCCACGGATCAGGTACTGGAGGCTGTCTTTATCGGCTCCATGCCCTGTTTCCCAAAGTGGCCTCTTGGATGATACCGGGTCTCCAGCAGTTACACATCCAAGTAGGGGTGTTGCAAACACGAGTTAATTTGTGGCCAGCGAATGACTCAACCAATGAGTTGTCATAGCTGTCGTCACAGGTAGAATCTATTCTTTCATAAATTGCTAGTGTGTAGAAATATGCATGTTTGCATAAGGTATTTGTGCAGTGTGTGTGTGTGTGTGTGTGTGTGTGTGTGTGTGTGTGTGTATGCAGGTGCCTATGCCCATTTACATGGAGACCAGAAGTTGATATCAGGTGTTACCCTAACCAATCTCCACCTTAGTGTTGGCACAAGATCTCCCACCGAACCTAGAGCTGACCAGCTGACGAGCCTGACGGGCTAGCAGGCTCCTGGGAGCTCTTGTCTCTGCCTCCCAAACACTGCCACAGGCAGGTACTCCCTTGCTTGCCTTCTGACACGGGTGTTGAGGATCCAGATTCAGGTTCGCATGCTTCTGCAGCAAGCACTTCATCCCCTGAGCCCTCCCCCAGCCTTTCAACACCATGCTTTCACTGGAATTCCTTCTTCTGTGTTAGTGATGTTGAGGAAAATCTAAAGACCTGCACGTATGGTATGCTAGAGACTGGAAGGAAGTGGATACTCCACACTCCCAGCACTCAGCCTCCCGCCATGACTCTGCTGCACCCTCATCTCAGCCTAAACCTCACGTTCTGCTTTGATTACGATGGAGAACTCTGCTGCTAGTTTTTGGCCATGTCATCAGGGTGCGACTTGAGTGGGTGGGTGGGTGGGAGGGATGTTTAACTCCTGAAGAGCTTAGTGTATCCTGTGAGGCAGAGGTACATAATAATGCTTACAGATCGGCCCAGGAAGAGCCGTGGCTGTTTGGCTTGCTCAAGGCCAAGGCCTCCTCAAATGTGATGAGGCAGGGCTCCGAGGATCAGGAGAAGGGGAGGAAAGTCCACGGGAGTTGGTAGCCCTGGGAAACAGCTCTTGTGAAAAGCTCCTTTGGCAAAGGGCCACGAGGCTACAGTCCAGGCCAAGGGAACTCTGTCCCTGAATATGGAACAACTCAATTGTAGAATTTCACGAATGTTCACTTTTGATCCCGCCATGGGAGGGATGTGTGGGAGTTAAACACAGAAGGACAAAGACAGAAGGCATCGGCACACGTGGTGACAGCGCTCGTGACCCTGCGGCTGATGGTGACAGGGTTGCCACATAAGACAAAGAAGAAGGGATCCTGTGACATCAGAGAGGACTGCAACGAGCCTTTGTCAAAAGCCACTTGTATCCTCTGTCACTAAGAGAATACCTAGCACATGAGCCCTGAGGCCCGGAGAGCTCTGTAATTTTCCCTAGAGTCTTATTCTTCATATATCCAACACTGCACTACATTTCATTTCAGAAATCAGACCAAATCATGTTTACATTTCATAAAGGGGACTTTTAGTGATTCAAGTAACAATAACAACAACAACAACAATAATGATAATACAACCAAGGCCTCCCAAGCTCGGCACCAATCTCTCTCTTTTGCAATCGGCTGTTCTACACATTGTAGGGTATTTGGTGTCATTCCTGGTCTCCACCTACTAAATACCAGTGGTAGCACCTTGCTACCTACTCTTCGCAATCAAACACACTTCCAGACACTGTCAGATGTCCCCTGGAGGTACAAAATTGCCTTTAGCTTAGAACCACTGGTTTAAAGTGACCTAATGAGAGATTAAATTAAATGAACCCTGTATTTTGGAGCATTGCGAACAAATCTATCCATGTAGGAAGTTATATAGGGAAACAAAAAGAGTGTTGTAGCATAGATTAAGCATCTATATATAGACAACTGACTGACTGCCGAGCCAAAACTCCTGAAGCTAGAAATGAGAAGTTCGAGCGCAGATTCCACAACATGAAATATGGGGACAGAAGGTCATGGGGAAAGTTCTGAAATCAGCCTCCCTAGGAGGTAATGATTACCACATTGCCTACCCCCACCTCCCAGTTATCCCCAAACCACCATCTACAAAATGTGTGGCATTCACCCAGTGTGGAACAGCCATAGCTGGTCACGAGACAAGACGTCTATAGAGACGGACGTGTTTTAAAAGAACAGTTAATTTTAATGCTGCATGCCATCGAATGGGCCTGCAGCCTGACAGGTGTGCTGGCTGAGGGACGCTCCGTTCACCAGTTCTAACCAGCCACGTCCTTATGTGAACTTTCCAAGACCGAGCTGAGAAGCCTGGGAAAGTACAAACAACCACAGTTTCAGTGTTTCCTCCTCCTTGCTCACTCCCTGGCCCTAAGTTCCCCACCTGAAGCTTTCTCTTAAGACCCACATAACGTCCCAGGCATGTAAGAGAGACGTGGCGATCCATAGAACTGACAGGCACCTCAGCTTCACCAGTCACCCAGTGCCTCCACACAGGCCAACACAAAAGGGAAACATTCTGTTCTATTTTTAAGTATATTGAGCAAAGAAGCAGCTTGATACATCATCGCAAAGGATGGCTGTCACCCAAGAATCACTGTCTCCCTATTTTTGTCAATGATATAGACTTTGAAATCAGATAAATTTAGAAATTCAATGTTAGGTTCCTATTTGTCAGCGGGGCGATTTTGGTGAAATGACTTAACTTTCTTTGAAACTCGGTGCCTGCATGTGTAAAATAAGAATATATACATATATGTGGAAACATATGGAATAATATAGGAAAAGAAAAGGTTGTTTTGAAGGATGTCTGTGTGTGAGTGAGTGTGTGTGTGTGTGTGTGTGTGTCTGTGTCTGTGTCTGTGTGTGAGTGATGGCATACAGAAAGCAGGAATGTTCCAAAATGGTAGCCATCATTGTGGCTAATTGTTGCTCATTGACATTACCATTTTCATCATGCACACATTCAACAATCACTTATTCGTTCAGCATCACCTATGCACTCGGTGGTAGAAAACTGAATTATTATAAAAAAAAATGTGCTCTCTTGAAGAATGGAGATTCTAATTGGATAAATGGGAAGACAGCCAATAATATACTGACCAGTGGCTAACAGGAGTCTTGTGTGCAGCCTGGCACAGAGGGACTCCAAAACATTTAAACGGTGGTGATACTGATGCCGATTTTGATGTCACAAATGAGTTGATTTGGCAATTTGCACCCAATTCACTCGTCACAGTACTCCCTGAATGCTTATCACTATAAGAAACGATTTATTTTCAAGTCAATGAGTCCCAATCTTGTGAGAGTGAACCTCGTTTCTCTGAGTAACACTTTAATAGGAGTAGATTAACATTCTTTATTATAGGGTAGGCTCATAATAGGCGTCTAGAGTCTGGGAGGTAATTCTCACTACTGAAAGGTAAATGAATTTTGACTAATTTATAAGTACATAGTAGATTTTTTTTGAGTTTAGAAATTTTCCATCATGCGAGAAAATTAGGGGTATGAAGCAATAATATAATAGCAATAATCAAAACTGTTCACCTACAAGGTAAAACAAACGGAGATAGACATTAACCCCTTCGTGAAAAAGAAATGCCTTCTTCTCTACCCATTCCTGTTATGCAATATTTGCTGTGAGGTCCCTTTCCGTGGGAACAGAAGGGAGTCAACAACTTCACACCTTTCTCGGCCTTGTCCCTAAAGCTTTCACAACCCCTTGTATTTCAACACAGTCTAACCCACTTCGTTCTCAGTCCTTAGTGCCTTAATTCTACTACAAAGCACCATTTTCCAAACATTGTCTTTCCATAACATAGAAACCCTCTAGCTGTGATGATAAATTTCCTACTAGCAACCATGTAAAGCCACATCCAGGTCCAGGCCTGGCACCACATCAGTTCAGCACAGGCCAAGGTCAATGAGAAATTATGTTCTCGAGTGGAGACGCTTACCTCAAATATATTCGCGGGCTCATTGTTGTACTGGTTGGATATGATTTCTGATTGGTCGCTGCACCACTTCAGTCCACCCAGAAAGCTGTCTGTGTCCAAGTCATTCACATCGAGTTCAGAGAGGTCAAGTTCAGGAAGATCTGGGCAAAGAGGCTGGTCCTCACCAACCAGAGCAGCACACTGGGGGAGGCAGCAAAGAGAAGACGATGGTTACTAACAGCAGGCGTTCGCTACACAGCAAAGGCACGTGATAGGAATTAAGTCCAGTTAATTCAGCCACAGCGCCAAGCTGGCATCTGGTCTTTAATCACCAAGGGAAACACCTTCCATTCTTTACTCTCTTAGCTCACCAGGAGTATTTCCCCCATCCAAATTCTAACCCCAGACCCAAACTAATTACCATGTTTGCATGAAGGCTTCCTTGAGTCTTCCAGTTAGAAACCAACAGGATGTATTCCTACCTCCAGGATAGCTATAGTCAGGGGGTTTCAAACCTCCTTATAGTTAGCTATGCACATGATTTTATTCTGTCCTTATCAGAGGACTGGTTTGAGAGAAGTATTCAAGTGGCCTTGTACCTTGGGATCACCATCAAATGTAATGAATATTCCTATGAACAACTGTTCACTGAGATAACAGAACTCAAGAATTAGACTAGGAAAACTTCCTCTGTGCCCACTCCCTTGAAGTATTATAATCCATACCATTCATTTAGCAACTAATGATGCAAGTCCTCTGACTCATCTATGCCTCTCTTGAATTGTTATTTAAATCATTTACTCTCACTTGACTTTTTATGAGTTCCCTGACTTCATCCTTAACAGGTCAAATGCAAGTTCCTTGACTTAAAGAACAAAATGCATGTGATTTTTTGATGTGACCTTTATAGCCTTCAATGGGAATACTTTGCAAGGTGTGTGTGTGGGGGGGGGGGCAGGGGATTGGGATCACCTGTCATCTAAAAGAGAAAAATGAAAGTACTGTAATATGGTACTATATTTTGTATTTCATGGTATTATACTTTCAGTTTTATTTTAGTATGTCAAAAATACAGTTGTGGTGAATTTAAAATGATTGAATTTGTATTGAGACATAAAAAGATTATAGTACATTGAAAATTTTAAATGCTTTTCAGGAAGGCTATTTTTGTAACCTTTTTCGGGGTTTAGAAAGTCATACTCCTGACCTATTGCCTTCTGAGGAAATCAGAACCCCTTACCAATTAAATGGTCTCCTATATTTTATTGGCTAATTAGTTGTTGAACCAAGCCTGGGTGCTCTAAAGAGTGACGAAAATGCTTACTATGGGGATCTAATGACAGCAGAGTCACCACAACCTCATCTTCTCACTAGCCATCTGCCTGAATCCAAGCCCTCACAGGCAGAGATAAAGAAGGCCCCGTGCCTTTATTTTCCAAGGTCGCAGAGTGATTCAGAGGTTCCCATCCAGGCAGCAGGGGAACATAAGGCTGATGAACTTCTCTGACATTTAGGTTTTGAATCAAATGAGTTTTGTTCAGATTTGATTTGGGGGATACCCCTGTCATTGCTGGCAGGCTGTATGGCACAGGTCAAGTGCAGCAGCACCATCTGAAGCCTGATGCTGGGGAACCAACACGGGGTAACAGGATCAGCAGGGGAGGAGAGGGAGGACAGAGGATGCAGATCACTGCAGTTTCTAAAGAAGACTACCAGGCCCCAAAAGACCCCAAAGACAGGCACATGGCCACACCAAGAAAAAAAAAATGCTGCCAAAAAAAAAAAAAAAAAAAGACAAACAAACGAACAAAAAGTCTTCATTCTCATCTTATTGGGCTTTTCTTTCTACTATCTGAGTCAGCCCAAATCTACAGGTCAGAAAACCTGGCTAGGTTTGTAAGCAGAAGCCAGTCTGAAAGGAGCAAATATTGTCTCGGAACAGTATTAGTGTTCTGTTATGGCTGTAACATGCCCGAGACTCTATTCTTACCCATACTATGTATCCTCAGATCACAACCCCCTTTCCTTAACTCTTCCTCAACACCATCAGTGCAGAGACAAGGGGAAAACTTTGTCAGTAGTGTAGAAAACCACACAGGATGTCATGGGTGGAGGATCCCTTTAAAATACTGAAGCACCCCAACCAGAGAGCATCCAGATGAAAACTGAGGCAAAAGACAGCCTGATCCACCTACAGCTGCTACTCCCAAGTCAGAGCACACGGAAAGCCTGTTTGGGAATGGTGAATTGTCACACTGACTTGCTGGGAGGCAGCTTCTTGCCATCTCTCTTTAACTGCTCTCTCTAAGCAAAACTAGTCTAAAGACCGTTTAACTTCCAAGAATATATGTGTGTATGTGTGTATAAATATATGCAGATATAGCTTCTGACAACTATTGAACAGATAAAAATCAGTTTGCTGTTTTAGTATTCTCTTTTCTTGGGTTCCCCCCTCCCCTGTCCCTCCTTCCCTCTACTTCTCTCATACTGTTCATGCTTCTTCTTACATTATGGCTCAAAAGAGTATTTGTGCTTTGCCAATGTTGACATCCTGATCAAATCAAGGCTTCTGAATGTGGCCTTGTCCCACTAATCTAAAACACATCCGTCGAAGCCATTGCTCCTGATACTAATTCATATCTGGACTTGGACAATGCCAGGCTTAGCAGGCTGAGGCCAGGAACTGCCCTTCTCCGACGTACAGCCATTGATGGCGCCCCTATACGGTCTGTAACAGGTGTGCCTTGCGAGATCCCACACATAGTCTCCTGCCACTCCGCCACTGTGGCAGCGATTTCACAACTGTAGCCTTCGTTTTACAGTAAGATTTAAGAGGCTGAAGCAGTCACTCACCGCAAAAGGCTAATTATGGTATGTTATTTCACCCCAACAGACTTTTCCCTTAGCTAAGGAACAGACAATAAATTAGCTTAACTGCGTGGATGATAATGATTCATTATAATTAAGTATAATTCTCCATTAACCTTTCAGAGGTTTTGGTGCCATTGGTGGTAAATTTTAAAGAGAGAGAGTGGACTCTGCGGCATTAATTATATTAATAAAAAAAATCTTACCTTCTGATAAAAAACATGAGTTGAGACAGGAGGAGGGATTGAGAGAGAGGCAGTAAAGAACACAGTCTTAGGGAAGTGTGTCATGTGAACAGTCTCTAGCCATCTTAGTAACCTATTGTACATCACCCCCACTAAGCTGCCAAACACCAGGGACTCTGGGTAGCTCTGGTGATTTGGGCTTTTATTAACCAATGCACTGTCCTGTCATTATGTGCAGAAGGGCATAATAGGTTTTTAAGATAACAGCAAACATTAATGATTCAAAAAATGAAAGCTGCCCACGCTACCTGCTGCTTGTAATATTTCGACAGGCAAGGGTGATTACCAGAGCCTCGGCACAGGTTTCTAGCAGCTGGCTGTCTACTGTGTGACTGCCCAGTCAAAGCTGACCCAAGACTCAATCTAAGGCTAGCAGCTGAGCCCGAATTCCCTCCTCCGTAAGGAAAACAAACAAACAAACTTAAAGCGGTAGTTGTAAATGACTAAGGAGCTTATTCGCAAACAACTGCAGGAATTCTGACCATGGAGGCAAAGCTCCTACGTTCCCTTTAGATCAGCTCCTCAGTCTCTGAGCAGCATCAGGAACACACAAGCCGCAGAAATGAAAGTGGATCGAGGAGACCCACAGTGCCAGCCAGACAACCACCCACACGGGATACTCTGGCTACTCCAGCAATTAGGACTTTGAAGCCATTTAGAACTCAGACTCCCGATAGCCACAGGACACATGAATTATCCATATCAATTCCGCCTTACCAAGAAATCACAACAAGATAAGAATAATTATAACCCGCAAATCCGATCTGCCAAAGCCAGGAGACGGCAAACGGAGCCAACATCTGCAAACCCAGCAAAGAGTTAAGAACCCAGGACACGCCTGGCTAGATAGGAAAAATGCATTCGCAGGCGGCCTCGCCAAATCATTTTCACTTTAGATGTGTATCGCTGCACCACACGGACATCTTATTTAATCAAATCACGTGTGGCACTTGACCCTCCCCCTTACCCTACGTGCCCCCGCTACCGGGAGGAAGCACCATTGTTAGTTAGCAGCTCCGATCCTCCGCGCAATTCAATTCGGGTCCATCTCACCAGAGTCCACAAAAGTTTCACTTGTTTTCCAACTTGCCCAAACTTTCCGAGAACATTCCATTGTACTGAATGCAAACACGCCGAGGTCCGAGGTCCCCAGCTAGACTCCGGAGATTCCGAGGAAGCTGCTTGTGTTTTTTCCTCCCCTGTATGAATTGTAGCCAGCAGAGACTGTGGAATTGATGTATTGCGGTCTATTTTTACACAAGCAGTGAGTAGCTCCACACACACGGTCTGCATAAACTCCATTCTCTCCCAGCTTCAGGCAGCTCTCCGTGGTACAGAAAAATTTAACCATTCGGTTTCTCGCCAGTGAAGCAAACAGAAAGCCTTACTCTCTCAAGGCTGGGATTTTTTTTTTAACTCGCTAGCCAACCTTTTCAGCCACACACAAGTGTTTTAAAGGAAACAGCACCGTCGTTTTGTGTTCTGTGGGAAAAGCCATCTAGCTCAGCCCCAGCAGGATTATTTGGGATCTTGTAAGTTCTCTGCTTAATAAACAGAGAGAGGAGGACGGAAAATAAAATTCCCGATGAGAGTCAAAACGGACTCTCTTTGAACACATCCCTTCCAATGTTTATCTTCATTTTCTTATAAATAGAAATGGCATTTCCCCAAGCAGGCCACTCAACACTGGAAAGACTTCAGCTCCTGATTCATATCAATATCTTAGAGCATAAATATTGCATATGAGTAGAAACAGAGCCAAAGGCACATGGAGAGAGTTTCTAACTGCTACAGATACTGATGACAGCAGCTACGCTTTGATTTGCTCAAGGCATCTCCGAGCCACCTTAAAATAGCAAACTTATTGGAGTTAAGATAAGATCGAGATTCCCCCTGCAAAAGCTCCCGCCGGGCTGCTTTCTAAGTCCCCCTCCTTTACCCTAGCCCATCCCCCTCCAGGAATCATTGCATCTGAGGGAAGCTCCGGTCCTGCAATGCCCAGCCCCAGCTCACCTCTATGTCACTCCATACAGAGTCTTGGCTGCACATGTCCCAAGCCATCCAGCTCCTGAGAGACGCCAGTCAAGCTTTTTCAACTCTAATCCACTCTAAACACACAGCACACACTCATGCAGGCAACCAGCCCCTTACTGAGAGTGAACTGAAGGCACCTGTCTTACTACAGTCCCCAGTCACATGACAAAGCTATTAAAAAGTAGGCTGGGCTGTCACTCACCCAGCCTCCCTTCTCCTGTGCAGCTTGCTGCTCAAACTCCTGACGTCACTCCAAGGCAGCCCTCTGCCTCAGTGAAGTAACGCTTAGAGGAAAGAAAAAAAAATAGAAGAAAGGAAGGAAACACTTGGCCTTTGAGAGGTTTCAAGCATCACACTGTGACTAAAGCCAGCTTTGAATGCCACCAACTCTAAAACGGAGCCCTGGTCATATAACTAAAATCTCTTTCAATCTTTTTTTTTAATTTATTTTACATCCAAAATTAGCAAGTAGCAAAGATTCCCTGTTACATGACAGAGTGACTACACTCTTGCTTAAACCGTGTTTTCTTTAAGGACTGCTTTCCAAGTGGACCCAGACTCAGCTTGAAACTAAAGCAAGAGTCTCACATGATACATTTTTATGAGATTTTTTTTTCCCTGTTGGGGGAGTGTTTAAAAGCAGCGAATCAGCTTCTTTTTTTCTTTTCTTTTTCTTTTTCTTTTTTTTTTTTCTTGTTTGGTCAACAACATAGCCCCATTTGTTTAGGTTTAAACAAACTCCTCCACCCAAAATCAGCTGTCTCCTTGGCAGTAGACAATGCAGGATCCAAAACTGTTACTGCAGTTTACTGCTCCGTATAAGGAGAGCAAGCCACAAAACCCTTTCCTCTTAGGTTATCTCCTGATTCTTTCCATTGCTCTCACCACAGGATCCCAGAAAACAAATGTTAGCAAATACAGTTGCTGTTGCCATGCCTAAGACAGCTTAGCCCCTCGGCTGCCTTACTTTTTTTTTTTCTTTTTCCCCCTTACATGTAGCATTTTCTTCCTCTCTGCCTCAGGGTGCCTTTTTGAATAAACATTGGATTCCAACCCTAGTGCCCTGGGTTGTGCAGTTTGCTTTTGAAATCAAGAATGTCCAGGGAATGAAGGGGAAACACTGACAGGCTAGCAGCAGAGAAACTCCAGGCTGGAGCCTTGCTTACTAGTACTGTTTGGCCATACTTGAGACAATGTGGACTAATGGAGGTGCAACTGTTTCTATTAGACATTGCATACTGAATACATAACAAACTCCCAGCGCTGGACACAGAGGAAAAGCTCTCCATAACACAAGGGGGTTCAGACTTAACCCTTCCAGCAACAGCAAGAAATCCACAGGGTATCTTTGAAAACAGATAGGTTTTCACAATACCTCAAACCTTTCAGCCTTTCAAAAAAGCAGCTCATTTCTTTTGCTTGACAGTAATGTAAAAAAAAAAATCCTCCCCTTGTATCTAAATATAATTTATAAAACACCATTCATTTAAATTTCTATTCCACTGAGGTTAATTTACTGTGTGCTTTATTGTCTGTCCCCTTAGATGAAAAATAGTGGTGACTTCTCTCAGTTTCTATAGTCAGCTGCTCCAACGGTGAAGTGAAAGAAAGAAATAAAAACCAAGAGAGGCCCACCAGCCTGCTGCTTCCTTCAGACCCTGTGTAAGGGGGTCTGTCTGCTCTGATGTCCACAGCAAGTTGCTGGTGAATTTCTAAATAGCGTGACGAAATAGGCATGTTGTCATCAGTGAATAGAACACGATGGCCAACAGCTTTGACGTCTTAAATTAGGTGAACACATTCACTGCTATAACTGTCCCCTTCCAGACAGCAGGGAAGTATTAGAGATTAAATTTTTTAATTCAAAAAAAAAAGAAAAGAAAACCAGGAAAGACAACATTGGGGAACACTCCCTCCATGCGATCCGTAGCCTTACCCTGCACTCCCACAAAGAAACACCAATTTTCTTCCCAATTAGATTTTTACTTAATGTAAAACTTCAGTAATCTATTAAAATTCAGGACAAAGGTCATTGGCTCTACCCTCCACACAGTCAACTGTGAAATAATATTGGCCACTTGGCTACAAGGAGTCAATGGTTATTAATTATTATCAAGCCACCCTGACATCCGGATGGGAATCGACGTGTTGGTTTCTATTCTTTCATTTGTTAGGCACTCACCAGACTTTTGGAAAATCCCATTCACACCTCTTAGAGACGTTCTTTGCACTAGATCACTCTGTGTTTACTGTTTTGATATTTTAACCTGCTCACACTGAACTACGGCAGTTTTCTTGTTTGGGCCACCTATTTCTACTTTGAAAAGAAAATTATCAGATCAGCAGACCTATGAAGCTGAAGGTATGCTCAGAGCAGCTGTTCTATCCTCTCCCTTCACAATGGGGCTATGTGAGGATAAAGAAGTTCCACGGCTGATAAACAAAGACATGCTGCTCTCCTGCCCTTATGTTTCTTCTGATACATAAGTCAACTTCAAACAGTTTGTAGGACAAGTTTCTAGTCTTCTACTAGTTTCTCAGGCTTCAGAATTACACCTTTAATGAGAAGGATATTTTAGAAGTCTTATCATTTGGTTAATTAACTCTTTAGATTAAATGTCTTCTTTTTGTCCAGCTCTTTTGCTTTCTTTAAGAGAATTTAAATTTTTAGCTGCTCACCAACCTTGGGTTTTCCTGGCTCCTTGGGCAGTTTCTATATTTAATTCTCTCTCTGTCTTGACTACTGTTGCTCTCTCTGTAGCCTGCCTCTTGCTCCCTCCACAACTTTGCCTTTAAGATTTCTGAATGTTTGCTTTTAATCAACAAACATCTATGGAAACCTTACTATGTGTACAAGCCACATACTACAAGGACTGTCAAAAAAAAAGCATACAACACAAACACAAAAACATAGGAGAGCTTACAATCTGGGGAGAAACTAAGCAATAAGAAGGGAGAACAGTTTTCTATATGAAAACAGATTCGCCTTGTTCAAAATCCTTTTCTATCTTTAAAACATGCTGTGCTCAGGGACAAGGACCTAATGCTGGCTATCACAAGTCATAACCAAACCAAACCACGTTTAGGCAAAACAAAGAACAGAGGTTTTATTAACACTTGGTGGCCGCCCATAGTGTTGTGTATCTACACAGAGTAGATCCTAGCCCCATGGAATCCCTTCCTTCACTAGTTCTGTTAACATCGGTTTTCCATGAGCCAACCATTGCTGGAGGCTGGAAAACCTAGCCTTAAAGTTGATAATGTGTGTAAGGAGGGAAACGGGGAATCAAGGAAAATGGCGAAAGAAAATATATTTGATGTGTTTGTTTTCGTCCCCACTTCTACCCCCAAGTATAGGCTTTTTGTGTTCTTCATACTATTTCTAAAACGTAAAGACAATCATACAAACCAAAATATTCAAATGCAAACACCACAGACAGTAACAGGACCATGAATTTCATTGTCGGTGCTGTCCTGTGAACAGAGAAGGAATCTCCAAAGCAAAGGCTAACAGCATAATTTTCTCTGTCCCCTTACTCTTAAAGCTTGCAGCAATGTACACACAAGTAAACTGGAGGCCAGATTCTTTAAAGAAGAAAGGTAGAGAGGGAAAACCGTAGGCAGCCAAGCTCACAGGAGTGAGACAGCACAATCATGACATCCTATAGGACATGCCAATCAATGCATCCCTCAGAAGGCTCCCTCCAAAGAAGCTATGTGCCAATAAGCCACAAAAGGCAGACAGATCTTAAATAGTCATTCTCAGAAGAATTATATCTATCCCCAAATCAAAGAACTTGCAAAGATCCTGTGAGACAACCCCTGGAAAGACATATGTATATTCCCAGGGCTTCAACTTGCTTGGAGCATTCTTCCAGAATGAACAGGGGTCTGCCCAAAATCACTAACATTTGTAGAGTTAATCATTGCTAAAAGGCATTCAATTGTTTGTTTTTAATTCCTAGAGGGCCCTTGATCCTGACACCCACACACACACACCCTCCACATCACTTTCTGAGCACAGACTTCAGGACTCAAGTTTGAAGCTCAGACTGTAACAAGGTGCCAGGATTGCAAGCAGGCTAGAACGTAACAGAGGTCTCTATTCTGCAAACACTCTCAGACTCAATCTGATTTTATAGGACCTGAGATGGTGGTGGCCAAGGGAGCAAGGATCGTTCAGCAAAACAAGTGTGCGAGAATAGAGTGGGTGGACAGTGTTAAATGCCTGGTAACATTTGTGTTTTTCTTCTTTTAATAAACAAGATTTGATTGACACGTTGAACAACACAGCTCTCATTCCCAGTAAAACCTTCCGCAGAGCCCCGTGGAATGGAGCCAGCCTCAATTTTAACTTAGACCTCAAAATGTGCTTTTGGCGTTTTTTATAAAACAACCAAAAATAACATGAAAAGTAATCTGAGCTATAGTCAGGA